GGCTAAATGGTATTGAGTTTGGTATTAAGAGTAAGCGCCCTGGAACTGTGAACTTGTATGTTTGTAAACGCACCCACGACACAGGAGAAAACTCCAGAATACGGCAACGTTTAAAAAAATACCTACCACCTGACACCTGACCCTTAAGTAAAAATATTATCACATGATAACATTGATGAATATTGTATATACAATAAATCAAACATGACTATGTAAGTATGCAGTGCCCAGGTGTGAAACCCGGCAGTAAAGATGTTACCCAAACATTCATCCTTTATCCAACAAATCTAGATCTTGACATTATTACTATTGTTTTTATTTGAGCTACATACCAGTCCTGAATAAGATGCCTGAATACTTTTAGACTATACTTTTAGACTCTAAGGACCATGTTTATTGGTCCTTTTGGTGCCTTTTCAGACATGTCTTAATCAAGAGTGTTAACTAGCTAACGTTGTGGTGGCCCGGAGGTTTAAGACGCCCAGTTCTCATGTATAAAGGCACGGGTGCACGCTCTGGTTTGCACTTTTTGTTTGAAGTCGGTTTTTAATAATGAAACAACCCGGTAATCAACGATCCATTTTTTTCCGTTATTGCTTTGTCTCATGCAGATAATTATCAAATCCATAAACGCCATGATCATTCTGTACTTGTACTGACTTAACCATCGAAACAGTCAGTATATAAAACAGTAATGAAACTTAACCCCGAAGATAGAATTTCGTTCATTATTGCAATACCGACGACTTTGTATACATTTGATTATTGCTTGAAATATGTGCGCTTAGGAAATGGTATTATAACATTGGATTTTACAACTAGTTAATAGGGTATGCCCTAATAAGTTAATTAAGGTTTGTATCCATGAGTGAGAGAGCCATGCTTCAGCTCCAATGGACCAATTTGATCCGACGTGATACCACGGCTTCACAGAAAATCGGCGTGAAGAAACGCTTGTATTATATGCAGCCGTATGGGCTGTTTTAAATGCGAATTCGAATTTGCAAATTCACCCGCTCAGTAGATGAATTTAGAAATTCGTATCGGTTCTAACTCAAATGATAATTCTACTGCATTATCATCATCAGGTGCCAATACATTCACTAGTAAATAAAGGCTTTCTACGTAAAGAAGAGGTTTGCCCTTGGTAAAGGTACCCTTAACCGACGAGCATGTATGAAAAGACTGATGGCTGTTGATGAAGCGAAAGAGATATGTTACAATCGTAGCAATTTGCGTTCCACAGTCTCGGCCTACCCTCATGAGAGACAGGCATGTAAAGAAGTTTCTTACTATCTCCATTTCTGGCATGCGGTTAAAGAATCATTGCCATCACTGAAAATATGGAAGATGCTGCTACTCAGTCCTGTATCTGATCTCAGTCTTAGAACGTGTTTCAGATACGAAACAAAATAGGTTAAATAATGAGTACGTAATTATAATTAATGAAATAATGGTGGTTCATAAAATACCTATAAAACCATTTTTATGACTGCCTCTATTGACCCAGCCGCTCGGCACAAATGACTGAAAATAATGAGCCTTAAGCTTTGGATATTCAATAGGAACCATGATTACAGTTTTTAGCAAAATAAAGTTTATTACACTTAACAATGATGGATGATAACATTAGACTAAAACAAACGCTATTAAATAAATCATTCATTACATTCCAACCACGTGTAAACACCCACATCCTCTGTCATGAAGCAGACAAATGTCATAACATTCATGTAAAGGTTATGCCTCGAAGGACCAAAATAAGGATTCAGGTAATCCTTTTTTTATGAGACGGGTCGGTAAATTAGCTACCGTATCACCTGATGGTAAGCAATTGGCGTCGCCCATAGACACCCGAAAACCAGATGTGTTGCAAGTTCGTTGCCAGGCTTTTGGGGATTAGGGGCTTAGGGACGGGGATTGGGCTTCCGGAAACCTCACTTACACGACTAAAGACAATGCAAGTATTGTTTCACGTCGGTTTTCTATAACGCCGTGCTGTCACTCCAGTCGAGCCGGCCCATTCGCGCTGAAGCATGGCTCTCATAGTCCTTCGTATTAACTTCTATTATAACCATGAAATGTGTCGAATCATTTCAAATGGCTTTCTCAAAAAAGCTACGGATAAGTAAACAGTTTGTCCACATTTCGCCATTTGTGATCCATAGTAATAGGGACCATAACCATCTCCAAACATCGGGAACAATTCCAATCTTCTTTAAATGTTTTCCCTCACAATCATTTCCTCCGGTGTTGGGGTGCATTTACAAATACATAATTTACATGCACATTGACACCCAGGCCAGGTACAAAAATTTGTGTATCAAACTAAGAGTTGCTCCATGCTGGATCGTATCAGCTACACATTGCGCGGTAACGGTACCCAGCCACTCCGCGCCAACCGTACAACTATATTCCAGAGAATAATTATAATAGTTGTATTATTTCATTAAATAAATATTCCTACTACTTAAGGCACTTTCCAACAACATTGGAATTAATATTTAATCCAAACAACATTCATAAATACTCGTCAAACCACTTCTATTTGTATTATTACATTCGTCCTACAGACAGACAATTACATTGCTATTACGAACAAGAATACTAAGAACAATGAAGAAAAGTTTATTTAAAAACTATCATAGACATTTAAATAAACTACTGCTCTCGTTCTCGTATGACAAGCAAATAACTTGGTTTATTCAAGTTGCTATTCGATTCACAAGAAAAATATAATTGACCTAGATTTTATGAAAAACGAGATGAAAGCGGTCTTTGTTTAATCATAATTAGGTAAATTGAAACGCATATTTGTTTGTTTTTTTCTTTTAATGTAGAAGTAAGAAACTATGCTATTATTTTAATAGTCTAACAAATTTAACCTACATTTTGTGGCGTACGTAGCTCTTTTTTCAAAACCCTCCCACATTAGGATTTTCTTCTATGGCGTGGGTGTGTTTATAATAAATAAACAATGTCACATACACAATGACGAACACAATACAGGAACTTAAATTACAGTTTCTTCCAAAACCATTCAGAATAATACGATATCCATAACCAAACATTAGATACTGTAAAACTATCACTGTTGTTCATTCATGATATGAATTATGAGATTATCAGACTCAGTCTGACCAAAAACTTGCCATTCAGGTTCAAACGCATTAAGATATTGAATCTTTTTTGAACTATTTTCAACATTATGCCCATTAGACAGAACTCAAAAATCAGGGACCGAAAATAACCAACAGCGTTAATGAGACACAAAAGACCAGAGACCATCAAGATATAGGAAAATCAGGACCTACTTCGAATTACCGGGGCTCTGGCTTCAAGCAGGAATAGGATGATTTTTCTCTCGCCTCACAGAGGGAGGGAGGAGTAATTTGAAGTTTTATTAACGAAAAGTACCTACCTCGCCCACTTAGACTCCCAGCACCAAATACACACACCAACACAAGGACACCACACTCTCGCCACATTCTCGCACAGTACCTACACGACTGTCAAACGTCGTATTGTCTGCACTGTCGTCGCGCGAATGTTGTTATAATTTGAAGACGTCCGCTTCAATGATTCTCAATCTTGTAATACATTGATTGTGTCATTAATTATTTATTGTTACAACTATGATGATTCATGTTTTGTTCTATATTGTTTGATTTTTTGTTTAGATGTTAATACTGTCTTCTTTTGAAAGACAAACAAACTGAAAATTGTCTTTGTAATTTTAGTGTCTGTTACGCGACTGCGACGCAATTACAAAGGAAATAAAATCAATTGTGTTCTAACTCGAAATACATGATTTTAAGTGATTGAATTAGGTAACTAAAAATGAAACTCTGTTAGTCAAATAATAAAGTTCGTATTCCAAAATCACGTGATTGTTACATCAAGCCAATAATGACAACATTTGAAAGACTAAGGTGTTTGTATTATTATATTAGAAGTGATATTTTATACATCTAATGCACTGACCAATTATTTTGGATCTTACTCAAGTTTTAGTAAACATTCATATCAAACAATTTATATTAAACTACACCAATTTATCAATCACAACGAAAACATGTTTACAAATCATTCAATATCCTAAATTCTATACTTTATTAATCCACCCGCAATTCAGCGACAAATAATAGTATCAATAACGCAGTGGGGTGCCGCAAGGAGCTCTCTTAGGACCGGTAAAGTTCTAACAATGCCAGTCTGGACAAAGGCATTGATACTCGAGCACTGACGGCTTTGTGCAACTAACTCCGGTCGGATATTTTTATTGGATTACAGGTTTAATAGTACAATATGAGTTTTATAGCTGTTCATACATTGCTTTGCGATTTTGTGGGCTCCCTTTGAATTTGGTTATCGAAGATGATAAGGACAGTGATGTATATGTAAATGATTATGTGTTTTGGGATAAACTGTGTACAGGTCGGTTCTTTCAGAACTTGAATGAGAGGGATGATAGTTTTTATATCATAAAAGCATTAGCAACATGATGAGTAACTTAAATGAAATAAAATGTTTATCAATGCCTTGTGACCAGAATCATAAACTACATGCTTAAAATTAAATATTGATAATAAAAAAGTACTCTTTAAAAAATCTCAGTAGTAGCACGGAGTCCGGAAATGTGCCCGGTATATGGCAATAGGCTCACCCCCTATTACATGGGACTCATAACATATATAGTGAAAAGTGGGTGTTACATTGTACAGTGATCTAATATGCACCTCTGCCAACCCCTTCGAGGATAAAAGGCGTGATGTTATGTTGAGTAACCTCTATGTATATTGTTATTTTATAAATTGATATTCTAAATAATACCTTACCTGACCCAAGTATATTAATTCGACGTATATAAATCCAATTACGAACAACTTTGAGAACCGCATAAGTTTATAATTTAGCGAACGTGCCAATTTCATTGGTGAAATGTTTCGTCAGCAATAATAATATTAGCTACAGATGAGTTTTTAAGAATACTGCAAATTATTATATAAAAATACAAATCTATTACATGTCATTACGATAGTAAACAATATTTATTATTTTTTTTATGGCATAAGCCGATAAACGAGCAGACAGATCACCTGATGGTAAGCAATCGGCGTCGCCCATGGACACTTGGGACATCAGAGGCGTTACAAGTGCGTTACCGGCTTTATGGGGATTAGGAGTTTGAGGATCGTTGGGGATTCAGGGGTTGGGGAGATTGGGGAAGGGGAGGGTAATTGCGCCTCCGGTAACCTCACTCACACGACGAAACACAAAGCAAGCGTTGCTTCACATCTGTTTTCTGTGAGACGGTTTTTTGTATTACAGACTAGCTTCTGCCCGCCACTTCGTATCCGCAATCCCGTTTTCTCCCGTTCCCATAAGATTTTCAGGATTTTTTTTCTATCATAAGAACCTTCTCCTGACAGTAAAAAACACAACAAAAAAAAATCAGCCAAATCGGTCCAGCCATTGTCAAGTTATGGCGTGGCAACAGGAAGCGGGTTTCATTTTTATATAATTATAAATTATATATTCGTCCCGCGGTTGTCGTAACAGTGACTTAAAGGACCACACATTTGATCTAAACTGACAATTTTAGCCTTTGTTTTTTAATCGACTTCAAAAACAGGTATGATTGTATGTGTGTTGTATTTGTATCTCGCTATTGGCTGAATCAATAGGGTAGTTTCCTAAATTTTATTTTAATGTCCATCTGGTAGATTAATTTAAAACTTTAGACACGTATTTTTTCTTTTCTCAAAAATCAAATACTTTCGACGATATATTAATATGAAATATCGTGTGACGTCACAGCGTGCTACATTTTGTAGCACGTTATGACGTAGCGGCCTCCCACTCCTAAACTTAGCGCCATTTTATCTAATTGCCACTAAATACGAGAAAATAAAAAAATACGTGTCTAATATATTTCATTATCTAACTGATATATATTTCATTATCTAACTGATCGCTAATTCGATTTTTAATTTTGATACCCTGAAAACTACCCAATTTTGGTGGGGAATTCAAAAAAGTGTTTGTTACGTATATTGTAAAGTATATTAAATACTACATTCTCCAAAGCGTAACACACTTAACATACTTCAAAAAAGAGGAGGTTGAAATTTGTTATTTTAAACGTAGTTCATAAAATAATTATTTTCTTACGCTTTGCTTATATATGCAAATATCAGAACGGGGAGAACACTTTATGGATTACACAACAAGTCGTTTTAAAATGTGGTTCAGCAGCCGGTTTTCAATACAATCTTTTTTCGTGACGTAAAGAGGTGATACCGAGCCTAGAATAGTTACAATTGCAACTACTTTTTAAAAGGATATAGTATAGTAAAATTCAAGTATGGGAGAGCCATGCTTCGACACAAATAGGCCGGCTTGACTTTTTTTTTTTTAAGGGGGGAAAATCATCGAATGACTGCTCCCGCCTGGGTGAGGCGGGAGGGAGTGTCAGACTCTTACTGACTAAAAACCACCCCGTTCCTTCCTGCACGTCGAGCCGGAGCCCCGGTTACCCGTTAGGTTCTCCGCGACAAGGCCGGCTTGACTGGAGTGATACCACGGCCTCACAGAAAACAAACAACGCTTGTGTTGTTTGAATGGTGCTACTGGAAGCCCAATTACCCACTCGCCAATCTCCCCAAACCATAAATCTCCCACAATCCTCAAATTCCTAATTCCCAAAAAGCCAGAAATGCACTTGTAACGCCTTTAGTGTTTTGGGTGTCCATGGGCGGCGCTGATTGCTTGCCATCAGGTTTTCCGTCTGCTCGTTTACCAGCTTCTTCTATAATAATGTAGTTAGGATCTAGTGTTATACAAACTAAGAGCTAATCAGATCATCAAAATCATTTTCATGACGACAATAGATTAGAAAATACTAAATAAACATTATTGTGTTGACAATCATTCGATCATTGTTTTTACATGACGTAATATTGTGTCAAGTATGAACAAATTAGTTAGAAACAAAACCAATTAGATGTCGTAATGTTTTTTGTTGCTATGCGGATCATCATCATCATCACATCAGCCACAGGACATTCACTTCTGAACATATGCCTTCCCAATGACTTCCAGATAGGTCGGTTGGAAGCGACCTGTGTCACTATTTGGATGTAAGGACCAAAATCGTAATCTCTGTATCGCTGTTAAGAATGTTTAATCAAAATCCAAAATTAAACTGATCCACGGATCAATATTATAACCCTGCTACATAAATTCCGAAACCATTACATTTAAAAATATAATTACACATTTATGAATACAAAAAGTACCGAAGGACCAAAGTGGTCCTCAATCAGGGATGCCACTAAAATATTTCCTACTTAACGAGTCAAGACTAAACGAATACGTTTTTAAAATATTTAAATATTAAAATTCTCCCTGGCAATCAGCACATCAAAAAAACAAAGCCGACCAATCAGAGTGTATTATTCACAATTACACACTTCTCATTTGTTCGCGCCTTCATTCGAGGTTTAATTTATTTTTTCCACACATCAAGGCGTGAGGGTGGGACGCCCCGTGGGGATCTCGTGCTAGGAGCGTAAAGGATTTCTCGAGTTCTTTAGGGCTCCCTCGCTTCTTTGTAAAAGTTCCTTTAGCTGGCGTGGTCGAGATTTTCATGTGAGTTAGGTAAATACAGAAAATTTTGGTTTGATTGAAATTTGTATTACGTATAAAGTACATAGTTTTTATTGTATGCTTTTGTTAAAGTGTGGTGCTTTGCAAAGATGTTTAATAGATTTTCATTTTTAAATTACCTATCGTATGAGAAATTAATAGCTATGGTGAACCATGTAACAATGCATTATAGTTGGGACCTCCTGAAACGAGACTTTGTTAAAAATCTTACGCAATATTAAATTAAGGCTGATAGATTGAATTAACGATGAAACTATGCTTATGTTTTTGTACTTATAAATATTGTTATTGGATTTCGTTTGCTAGTAGCTCCGTTGCTTTGTTCTAATGTGTAGAAGCCTTTAATGTAATATTGTGTTACGTTGTTCAGCCTAATTATAAAAATACAATAAATAAGTACCATGCAGGCTACCGAACGAGCACCAACAGTAACAATCATCAACTCAAATGCCAATATCATTAGATGTCCTCATCTGTCCGCATATTCTACCCGTAATGACCAATTAACAGTCCAGAGAAGAAATGCAACCGACCATAACTTAACCTTAAATACATCCCCATAACAGTTTACTTAATTCCGTCACACACACAACTACTGACCCTTATTACAAACACACCGCTCACGCTTGACCAACTCCCATTGTTTTGATGTCCCTCAGAGGATATAATGTTCTTTACACTTAATAAGTGTCTCAGGGTTCAAATACAGTGACCTGTTAACACTTCAAACGAATATCTACCTTACGGTTTAAGGAACTAAGTGTTGTTTTGGGAACTGAACCCTTAATTACGATTTCAATTTTGGTATAATTCAATGTGGCTCGAAGGACCAGTTTTGCGTGGCAGCGCTAAGCCTA